TGTATTTGATACGTTTCCATCTTCCAAACCTTAAAACTTGCAAGCCTTGTACCAAACAAAGCACCATCAAAAATCAGAAAAAACATTAAGATTAACTTGCATCAAAGTTGCACCAACATTATGAGATGAACACCATGCCTAAATATTCAAAACACGCTGCAAAAAGAACACGATATGCATCAAAGTTTCATGGACTAACATGCATAAGCAGCCTTTTTTAGAAACCTGCTACATCCATATGGGAGCATACAAAATCAATACCAAACCAGTCTTGCAGCAGTTCAATTAATGCCACCAACACACTTGTATAACATTCTATAACCAAACATCAATTAGCCTGCACATAATTATGAGTCAAGCAATGTATCATAGAAGTTCAAGAAAATCTCTTTGTTGATGTAGAAGGTGTTGATGATGAGACTGAGAAGTTGATTGATCTCATCCTGGAAATCAAATGTCTCTTGATCCACCATTGTCGAATTGTTGCTTTTCTTCGATGAAAGAAAAGGGTTTAGGGATTTTGGAATTGAGAGAGAGAGAGATATGAAGAGTTTCTGAGAATTATGAAATAATGAGAAGTGAATTAGGTGTTATATATAGGAGTGTTTGTTAGGGCTTCTGCATTTCTAGATTCTTCTGTTTTTTCTATTTTCAAACTAAATTAAATAATAACAAATCGAATAACTAGATCCTTCTATTCTATTTCTATTTCCAAATCTAAATAATACTAATGCTAATGTTGTCGCTATTTTTGGGGACAACATGGACTTCGTTTTATTCTTTTTTTAATATGCTATATTTTATTTTATTTTAAAAAATATTTATTTGTTTTGATTTTTATACAATGATATTTGATTTGATATGTTGAGTAAATATTCTAGTTTACTTTTTAAATATATTATTTAAAAAAATATTAAAAGATGGGGTTTCAAAAATATATTATATATATTTTTTTATATTTTTATAAAATAAAGGAATATTAAATATATTTAAAAACTTAATCTAGATTTATGTCTCAATACTTTTATTATTTTTAGTGTTTATTTTAGAAAAAATTTAATTCGTATCAAAAAACACAAAAATTAAAATTAAATAAGTTATATTTATATATTTTTTAAAAATAACGAATCCAAAATTGTTTATTCGAATTATTTTTTATCCATTAAATTTTTTTTTATTCGTATGATTTCTAAAAAAATTTGTATCAAACCTTCATATTAAAGTACATATTTAGTGGAGATTATAAACCTCCAAATTAAAGTATAAATTTGAACTGTACCAAAGTCGGCCATTTCACTACCTTTTAATGACTAAGTTGGGTCAATTAAGGTTCTAGTGCTTATGACACCACACAACAATATAGTGTTATCCTCGAGTGACTCAAGGAACACCAGTATAAACCAACGTGTCACTTTAACGTAGTCATCACTTCAACCATATCGATTTACGTTGCACAATTTCCATGATCTATAGCTACTTACCTAAGGTGCCCCTATATCCGGGTATATGATCTTTGCAAGAAATTTAAAACCCGAGCAACCCTCAAATATAAAGCAGTCAAAGCAAACAAGTAAAGTGATCCTAAAATCTAAGGTGACCCCTCTTTTAAGTTCCTCGACAGAATCACCAGTTCTGTAATACGGTGGGAGAACTGACTTGGTTTACGTTTTATCGCAAATGTTGCGGATAGCAAGAGTCACCACCGACTTTTCTTTTATCCAACAAGGAAAGGGTTAAAAGAATAGGAAAGACCTTGAAGATTTTTGAGTTCGGGGGGTAGATTATGAAAAGGGGAGGTGTTAGCATCCTTTTCATCCGTAGTTATCTACGGGCTCATAATCGCTAGCTCACTTTTTGAAAATTGCTTTGTGTTGTGTATGTTTGAAAAATATTTTGAAAATATGCCAATCTTAAGGCGAAAATTTGTAATGATTCTCTTATCTGTCCTCGAGAATACATACAAAGTGTTTTGAAAATATTTCGAAAGTGTTTGTGTGAAATGTTTTTTGTTTTGAAAAGCTTTGGGAGCAAGCGATTAATAGTATTCTACCTGCTCGAGGTCATTCTTGTATTTCTCTCCTCCTTTAGATAGTGTTATCCTATCATTATTTAGTAGGAAGCCCTATTATTGGATGTGAAGGAACAAGTGTGGGCCATTGTAAAGTCATCGAAAGCAACTGGTAAATGCGCTTTAGTAATTTTCGTTAAGGGACTAGATCATTTATTGGAAGGCAGTCTCGAAGGGTCATCGAGGGAATATGATCTTTATATCGAGGGACTTTGCTAAAGCGCCCCCATGTTCGAGGGACATGACTGTTTTCTGAAGGCAACAAGGGAGGTTATCCTAGAGGTGTACGTGTGCAAGTGATTTGTTTTCAGTTATTTATATTTGAAATTAGGGTTAGCTATCGATTCGTTATTAGTCTTTCCATGCAAGCCTAGTTACTAAGAAACGATATAGCCAAAAAAAATTGTAAAGGTGCGAAAGTAAAAGCGGAAATGTAAACTGTAGACTATTACATCACTTTAGGAGAGGTACATAGGTAAGAAAATGCGGGAAAGTAAACCCTAATTACTATTACATTCTGAGAAACAGTTACAATAACGAGGAAAATGCAAGAATAATAAACTACGCAAAAAAAGAATGTAAGAATAAAAAACGAACAATGTTTTTCAGTGATTTTTTGATGAAAAAGGTTTTGGATGATTAAACAAACCTAAAAAAAGTCTAATTAATTATAATTAAAAAAAGTTGATTAATTAAATTAAAAACCTAAAAACTTAATTTGATTAGGGTTTATAAAAAAAGAGGTTTTGAAAAAATAGGATTGTTAAAAAAGGTTTATGGTTTATGAATTTTGGGTTTTTAAGAAGAAAAATTAAGGAAAACCCAAGTATTAAAAATAAACTACCAGGGATGGGTGTTGAACCCATGCCCTTAGCCTTTCTGCCCAGCACCTTAACCACTGCGCCAATCGCGCTTGTATCAAGGGATAACATCAGCGCATTTTGTATGTTAACTTGCAAAAATCAAAAAATGTGAAGAAAAAAAAGGACAAAAGGCAGAGATTGAACCCACGCCTTTAGAGAGGAATGCCTTAACGCACGCGTTTTAACCACTAGGATGTTGATACATCCATTATTATTCCTTAAACAAAATAAATATAAAATAAATCTAATTAACTGGACCGGAGAAGTGTCAGAGCCCTAGCTTCGGCCGTCTTCTCCAACGTGCCTCTTCCTCATCCCTGCAAAATAAACATTGTTAGAGATCTAAGGGTACCCTACCCCCCTAAATTAAGGCTTGTGAATTCAATGAGACCATTATATTGGGCTAAAATGCGTTGGTTTAGGAGATATATCAAAATTATCATGGATCGGTATGAACATGGTGGTTCATGGTTCTGATAGCATGAGACTCCTGCGATGAATGAATCTTGCACTAATACACCTCATAAACACATTGATACCATTAGTATGCCTTAAAGCAAAATAAAAATTGAAATATGAATTTGCAAAGAATAATGAGATTAGAGATGTATGCGTGCAGGTTTTTGTGGGCTCTAGATCATCAAGTTTGATTTGTCCTTACCCTATACCTCTTCAGGAATCGATTGGAAACGCTGGAAGGCTTTGAAGATGGCTGCAACTAGGGTTTTCAACTTGTCCTAGTTTTTGATATTTTAAGATTTTTTGGATGGCTTTTTGTGCAAGAATTTTCATGGTCAAGGGTTTGTCTGAATGCAGAGAATATATAGGGGTGAAATTAGGTCAAATAAACATGGGCTTGGACTTGTGTAAGAAGCTTTGTCTTTTATCTTATTTAATTTTTAATTTAAAATAAATAAAATCAAAATAAATAGAGTAAAAATTTCATGGGGTACATGAAGTAGATATTAGGTCCATTATAAGTTGCACAACACGTTTGGACCTTGAATCACAAGCCCAATAGCCCAAAATCCCAAGTTTGATCACTTTTTGTTTCATGCATTTTCTCAAATTTTCCCAACTTGCACTAGTTATAACTCTCTCAATTTTAATCATTTGAAGGTGATCTTGGACTTTTTTGAAATATCAAGATATCATCTACAATCTCTATTTTTATCATTTTTGCATTTGAAGACTTTATCTTGATGTAAATTTCCTTGACAAAAAGTGTCTTTTTGTTGACTTTTGAAATGACCTGTAATATTTTGGCCCATATCTCTCAAGTGAAGAATTTTTTGTATTTTAAATTAGAGAGAAAAAGTTGTAGAGAATTGAATTTCCTTCAAGATGAGCTTTGGTTGAGGAAAATCTGATGAAGCATGTGAAAGTTATGCTAGGTCAAAGTTCAATTGACTTCTCCTTAAGAAAACCCTAATTTGACAACTTTTGACTTTTGATGATTTGGGAGTTTTCTTGATGAATCATGATCAAACCTTGATCAAATTATGAATATGACTTTAAAATTTTGAGGTTGACCAAAAATCTTGAAGTTTGACTGTATGTTGACCATAATTGACTTTTTGTCTAATACTGTTGATTTTTAGTTATCTGAGCAATTGACTGAGCAAAATTGTGATGCAAGTAATGAAATTTGGTATGAGCATTCTTGGAGACATGTAAGAAACCATTAAATCCACTTGAGTCCTTAGAAACCCAATCTTCCTTGAAAAAGGTGAAACCCTAGTTGTGGGTCAATTGCTTAGAAGGAGAATTTGTCTGATCAATTCTTGGGCAACCTTGAGCAAATGAAAATCCTAAGAGAATATTCTTGAATAGTGGGAGGGAAAATTTTGGGGTACAACAATTAACATATGAACATAAGTTGAGTATGCCAAAGTTCATGAGTGATTCTCCATTGTGTTTTGGACATAGAACAAAACAAAAGGGTGAACTTCATTCAAATTCCTTTCAAAGTTACATCAAGAAAGTTATGAATCATTCCTTTACACTTTAAAGAATTACAAAAGGAAAATTACATCAAAGTGTGATTTGGACTTAAAAGGTGATAAAACTCAATATCCAAGTTTCGTATGCTTCTTGCCAACTTCAATGGTCAAGCCAAGTTCTCCTTGCTTAGTCAAGGCAAGTTTCATTTGCACTTCACTATGTACTTGATACGCTTCCATCTTCCAGGACCTAAAACTTACAAGCCTTGTACCAAATAAAGCACCATCAAAAATCAGAAAAAACGCTAAGATTAACCTACACCAAAGTTGCACCAATATTCTGAGATAAACACCATGCCTAAATATTCCAAACATGCTGCAAAAAGAACACGATATGCATCAAAGTTTCATGGACTGGCCTGCAAAAGGAGCCTTTTTAGAAACCTGTTATATCCATATGGGAGCCTATAAAATCAATACCAAACCAGCCTTGTAGCAGTTCTATTAATGCCACCAACACACTTGCATAGCATTCCATAACCAAACATCAATGAGCCTACTCAAAATCATGAGTCAAGAAATGTATCATACAAGTTCAAGAAAAATAGATCAACCAAAGAAATTTAAATCGGAAGTCAATCTGAAACCAAGCTGAATCTAGTTCATAGTGTTCCCTGCATCCACAACTAACGGTTTCATCACTAACTTCAACATACACTAACAACCTACAACTAACTAAACCAATAGGAAACCTAAGTTTAATCAAGCTCACATACATGTTTTCAAGCCTTTCTAAATCTACTGAATTCACTAATATAACTAACTTTTAGCAAACCTAGGACTAACAAATTTTAGCTCTAACTAACTTCCAATTTCCCTGATAAACTTTCAACAATTTCCCACCTCCCATTGACCACCAAATAGTTATTTCCAATTCCTTCCAATAGATAACATTCAACTAATTCTTAACATTACTAACAGGTTATTACTAACTTCCGCTATTTGTTCTTTTTATAAAAACTAACTATAACTAATTCCTTGTCAGCTCAGAGAATAAGCTTCATAACAGAAAATCAGTTAGAAATAACAAAAATCCTCATAACTAACCTCATAACAGATTTTTCAGATGAATCTCCACCCTCCATTTTGTAACAAACTTCTTAATCCAAGAGCTGAGATTCTTTCATCGATAACAAACTTTCTGCACCTAGATAGCATCTTCCCTCTGATTCAGTTACATTCACGCAATCATTTTTTTTTAGTTTCAGATTCTCTTCTTCATCTCTCGAGTTCACCTTCATCTCTCCCTCTCAACCTTCACCATCGTTCATACGCACCTTCAACCTCTACTCTTCAGCCTTCCTTCAACAATTTTTCACCAAACACCATTGCTTCCTCTCAGCAACACATAACCTCACACACACTTCCATCATTGTCATCAACCTTTCAACTAGTACTCTAAGTTTATTTCTCATATACTTGTTGCTACTTATGCCATAATAACATCGACGCACATCACTACTTCAACGAATTCACACCACATAACCACACAACAACAAAAACGCAAACTGCACAGAAGAATGTAGAAGAAAAAGAAGGAAAGGATCGGAAATAAGGATTCGAGATTTATGCATACTGGAACAAGAGCTTGAAGACCTATGGGTTTATCAATGATTTCCTTCGACTTAAAAAACCGTTAGAGTTACTCCGGTAGGTAAGCTACGTTAAACTTCCTCGTTTATTCATCTCTTTCTCTATTTCTTGATGCGAATCTATAGAAGATAATGAGTATAAGTAAAAAACCCTGGAATCATATGCTGAAACGCCATTATCATCGTCTAATTTAGTTTTTTATCAACTTAGGATTTAGGTTTTATGTGGAGATTTAGGAGAATGGCGTAGAAATTGGTGGAAATGAAGCACGAATTTGAGTTCGGATTGTTGAGGCGAGGGTTACGATAATGTTATCTTTGAGTTTTCTGGTGCAAAGGTGGTGGTAACGACATCGATGGAATCCACGAGAGAAGAACGTGAGATAAGGAAACTAATTTTGTCTTGAGGAAGCTGGAAGGTCACATGTAACACCATAACCAAACGACACCATTTCCATCACTTTGGTCTTCTTATTTTATTTTTTATTTTAGTTTTAATTGGAAAGAAATAAGGAAAATATGAAGATAATGGTTGGGCTTAAATTTTGTTAGCCCAGAAGTGGCCAAGCCTGCTAGTCTCACCCCCTGAAAGCCTGCTTACTTTTTTTTTCTATTTAATCTATACCTTACCAATAAAAATAGTTATGGACTGGGCCTAAGACAGATTTGCTGACCACACTTCCTGGACTCAAACTTCACACTCCTTTGATCTTGCTTCCTTAGTATTTTGTTTTAATTTTTTTATTTAATTTTCTTTTCACATTTTTAATAGATAAGTGGTAATAAGAATACACTAAAAAATAGTAAAAATGTTAGTTGATTTTAGGATATTTTTTCTTTTAATTCCTCCATTTCTTTTATGATTTCTTTTACAATTTTCATGATGTTGTTACTTGTTTAGATACATTTCTTGATAAGTAATTGATGATGGATGATATTTGAGGTATTTTTTGTGTTTTCTTGTGTACTTGATTGATTCATGATCCCTTAGGTTAATTTTTGTTTAATTTTAACCTTTGATTAAATTGAATTAAAATTAGACATTAGGATTTAAACCAAGCATGACAACAATTAAGTAGAATTTCCCTCGATCCAAACTTTAGGACCATTGTACATGATAACATTAGAGTTAGCTCCCCTTAGTTATTTTCTTCTTTTTTGCATTACATTCTAAAACTAAAATCATTTTCTTATTCAAAATCAAAAACATTTAATCGTACTTAAACACTTTCCACAATAACAAAACACGAACAAATCAAACGTGGCACCTTGCCTTGAGGGTGTAACTCAAAACTGTTTCAAAAGGGTTCGTCACCCATAAAAAAGACACAACAAACCAAATTTTTTTAGGTGAACTACAAGTTCCCTGATCTCTCATTGCACGAATAGGGTACAGAGGCATAAAGGTTCACAACCATGGTAGGTGAAATAATTTAAAACTTTTCTTTTTCTTAAGCAATTTATGCATGCATTCCCTTAGCAAGTAAACAGTAGATAAAATACACCCTTTGATTATAACAACAAGAATGGATCCCGTAGAGTACCACAAATATGAGGGGTACTAATACCTTCCCCTCGTGCAATTAACTTTTGTACCCTTTTCTCTTGGTCGCGAGACTATCTTATCCTTCCTTTTGGGGTTTTCTCGATATTTTCCCTTCCTTCGGGATAAATAAAGTTTGGTGGCGTCTTTGTGTTTATCGCAGCGCGACACCATATACTTTGTATTTCCATTTATACTTGTATCATTTTTAGTAACTACAACTATCTCCTAGTTACTTCATTGCATCAATAGAAATACTAACATATCATACTTATTCTCGCTTCATCATACAACCACTTCTTCAAACATAAATGGCTCTTGCTTCATCATCTCAATACAAAATATTTTATTGCTTCATCATACAATTACTTCTTCAAAGATAAACGATTCTTGCTTCATCATTTCAATACAAAATATATTCTTGCTTTACCACAAAGTTTGGCATTTTATGTCACATAAACCATATTTTTCAACACCAATATATATATATATATATATATATATATATATATATATATATATATATATATATATATATATATATGATGACAAAGATAAATGATTCTTGCTTCATCCTTTCAATACTTCTAACATGTTAACTACTTTTTGAAAATGTTATTTCAGCACCCATATTCTTAGAACATGAATATCATCACTTCTAAATGGCTAATATTAACATATGAGTTGTATTTATTACCAAAACTCTCTCTAGACTAGCGAGGATCATCCTAAAATATACACGGTACACCTATTTATTTTAGTTTCGCACAGTGAGATATAATTTCTATCTTTCCATATTATATTTATATAATTCAAATATATATTGACTCTTTCATTTAACATTTATAGGTTGTGACATGTCTTTAACTGCTTCAAATATATCTTAATATAACAATTTTATCTTACTATTAAGAATTATATTTTTTTTTATATGTTTCATTTTAAATATTAGGGTTAAACATGTTTAAAGTCCCTCTAAAGTTAGACATTTTCACTTTTCTCCCCTCTAAAAAATTTCGTTAAAGAATTGTCCTTTGAAAGTTAGGAATTTTAACTTTTGGACCCTCCTACAACTTAGTGACGATTTATACAAGTTAGTGATGGTTTTTAACGACGGTTTACTACCTAGTGACTGAACTAGTGACGGTTTTAGCAAGAGGGGTCAAAAGTTAAAATTCCTAATTTTAGAGGGATGATTCTTTAACAAAATTTTGTAGAGGGGCAAAAAATAAAAATGCCTAATTTTAGAGGGACTTTAAACATATTTAACCTTAAATATTATTGCATATATTATCATGTACTTGTTATATATTGACAGTCTAATATCAACAAGGATAACATATAAAGTTGTATGCTTCATGAAGTTTTCAATTTTTTTCTTTATCTGAAAGTCATATGTTTATGAAGATGAAAATCAAGAAATAATTCACAACTCGAAATATAACACAAAGTCCCAAGCAGACCTCGAAAATCTTACTTTATGAAGAGCCTTTATTGGAACATTAGGGGAATAACTAAACCTCCCTCAAGATTAGATCTTAAAATATTACATAGTCTTCACAAACCTAAATTCCTTTTCATTGTCGAACCTAAAATATGCTATGATAAGCTTCCTTGCAACTGGTTATAAGTATTTTTCCTTTAACGAATCTCTTTAAGCATCTCTTTAGTGCTTCTACAGGTTAGATTTAATCCTACAATTCTTGTTACTTCAGACCAATTTGTGGCTTTTTTCTTTTTTGATGGATAACAAACTCCTGGAAACTGCTGTGGTGTATGCCTTAAATAATCTTTACAATAGGAAAGACCTTTGGAAGGACTTCCATGAACTTCAGAATAATCACCATCTCCCATTGACTTTCATTGGAGTTTTCAATGCCAACATGGGGGCTCATGAGCATCGTGGTAGAAACTCCCAAGCTAAGAGCCATATGCTTGACTTTCAGGTTTGGGCTGAGTCTGACTAGCTCATTCATATTCCTACTAAATATTCTTTTTTCACTTGGTCTAACAAGTGTTCTTAACCTTATTTCATTGAAAGAAGACCCGATATGTGTATTGCCAATCATGCTTGGTTGGACTCTTGTGCGATAAAATTTGTCTCTACTCTTACCAAGTTGCATTTAGATCATTTTCCTATTCTCCTTGAGTTTTATATCAACCCTCCCAAAGTGGCATCACAATTCAGATTTCTAAAAACTTGGACCTTGCATAAAGATTGTAAGTCTTTAATTGGGTCTTGTTGGAATCAAACAATTACAGGATGTCATATGTTTGTGCTCTGCAAAAAGCTTCAATTGCTCAAAAAAACCTTAAGAATATGGAATTATTATTCCTTCAGAAATGTTACTAAGCATGTCAAATTGGCTGAAGAAAATTTGGACCGGATTCAGGCTCTAAATCAGGTTTCAGGGAGGAACAATAAAAGGAATGATCTAGAGGCCTATAATAGATTATCTTTTACTCTTGACATGAAGGAATGTTTTTGGAGAGAAAAATCTAGAATTAGGTGGAAACTTTAGGGGGATCAGAATACGACTTTTTTTCATCGAATTACTAAAATTAAGAATTCTTTCAATCCTATCACCATGCTCAACTTTAGAAAGGAAACATATACTAAGCCAAGCCAAGTAACCACCCACACAATGAACTATTTTCAAAATATTTTTGTTGCTAATGTTTATGTTCTGCAGAATGTTTCTATGGTTGAAGAGGCCATTCCTAGATTGGTGGATGATAGTATGGATGTGCTTATTATTATGCTTCATTCCTTATATGAGATTAAAGCGGTTGTGTTCTCTCTTAACAATGACAGTGCACTGGCCCAGACAGTTTTAGAGCGTCTTTTTTTTCATTGCTATTGGGATATTGTCAAGCATGATGTTTCAGAAACGGCCATTCAATTCTTCTCACCTGGTTGGATTCTTTCTAGCTTCAATTCCAATACATT